AATATATAATATAAACTTTAATTTATGTAATTGAATATTATATATTGATTTTTACATATAATTCATTAAATTAAAAAGTGTATATGTGTGTGTAGGAGTGCAATTAATTAGATTTTATATTTTATTTATGTAACTTTTTATTATACATATTAATTATTGATGTACTGAATATAATTAAATTGTAAGCGTGCAGACAAAATAATCTGAATGAATGATTGTCCTGTTGAGCTGCATGATACTACTCTCTTCCCAATATGTGTCAGATGAAGGTCATTGTGATCACAGAGGGTTGTTATTTACTGGTGTCACATTCACAGTTCACAGTCTCTGTCTATGCTTGTTCTGTTAATCTCAGCCGCTTCAGTGTGTTCAGTGGGAACAGGAGCTTGGCCTTTACCTTTGACTGTTTGCTGACATGAATAGTCTCCCTGTGCTCACCTTTGCTAAGCTGTCAGAATCAAAGATCGCCTGCTACCACAGATGGTGTTACCATTGTCTGGCTCTGATTCATGATGTACTCTTTCAAACTATAATGAACAAGGATGCGTTTATATATTATTCACACTAAACATGTTCTCTTTTCTCATAAGCTTTTGTGACAGTTGCAGTTTTCCTAAATTTATTGTGGGCGAACCAGAAAATGAGCAGTTGTCAAAAATTTCACACCTCAGAATAGAAAGGCCTAAAATAAACTGGCAAGGAACTTCAAGCCACTTCTGGTCACACTGTGAGTTTGTTTTTGTATTGGTAATGAGGAACAGAATTTGTGCTGTCAAGATTAATATCCATTGCACAGATTTATACAGCAGTGGCTAGTCACTACTGTTTTAAATCAATTTAAACCAACATGTAGTGGCCTGATGATACCAGACATAGCAATTTCACAATCAGTACAGATGCTGACTTTCATTGTAAAGTTATGAAATGAGGATTGAAGAACTTGGAACTTGGAACAAACCGAGTTATCTTCCTGTGGCTGGCACAGATTTCATGTTACGTTTATGTGTAGAAACCTACAGTTTTTTCATTGTGCTAAGCACTCTATCACATGCTTGAGGATCATTGTCACTGTTTTGATTCTTTCGCTGTAATGTTTTTCAGTTGCTGACTGTCTGATGGGAGTCTATCTCTTCTTCCTGGGGATATTTGATGTGAAATTTCGGGGCGAATATAACCGGAATGCTCTTATCTGGATGGATAGCGTGGAATGCCGAACAATTGGCTTTCTTGCCATGCTCTCCTCTGAAGTATCTGTTCTCCTCCTCACCTACCTGACACTAGAGAAGTTCCTAGTCATCGTTTTCCCGTTTAGCCATCTGCGGCCTGGGAAGCTGCAGACAGTGTTGGTTCTGGCCTTCATCTGGATTCTGGGATTTGTCATAGCAGCTGTTCCCTTGCTAAATGAAGACCTGTTTGGGAACTATTATGGGCGAAATGGAGTTTGTTTTCCTCTGCACTCTGATAGGCTGGAGAAACCAACAGCCAAAGGATACTCCACAGGGATATTTCTAGGTTCGAATCATTTCACAGATTTGATGTTTACTGATGTGTTTTCATGTATTTAGTAGTTTTAATTATTCTATGAATGTAATATATACTAGCAGTCAAAAGTTTGAAATAATTAAGCTTTTTTGTTGATTTTGAAGTCTCTTATGCTCACCAAGGCTGAATTTGTTTGATCAAAATAATATTTTGAAACATCAAGAATTTAAAATAACTGTTTTCAAGTTGAATATGTTTTAAAATGTAATTCTTTCCTATGATGGCAAAGTGTATTTTCAGCTGTCATTACTTCAGTCTTCAGTGTCACATGATCCTTCAGAAATCATTCTAATATGCTGATTTGGTACTCCAGAAACATTTCTTATTGTTATAAATGTTGCTGTCAGTTGTGCTGCATAATATTTGTGTGGATATACTGTGATACATTACAATTTAAAAGTTTTTCTGTTTTTATAAGAAATTAATACTTTTATTCAGCAAGGATGCATTAAATTGTTAAAAAGTGACAGTAACATTTATAATATTACAAAATATTCCAAAATAAGTCGTTCTTTTAAACTTTTAGTTCATGAAACCGTAAATTCTCGAGTAGGCTACACAGGGATGTCTGGTCACCCTAAATTGAGTATCCACAATTCAAATCATCACTTTCCTATATGTCAGTCGTGCACATCCTGAAATATTTGTGTATTTTGTATTTACAGGTCTTAATCTGGTGGCGTTTTTGGTGATTGTCATTTCCTACTCCAGCATGTTCTGTTCCATTTGTAAAACCGGCATCAATGCCACAGATGTGCGCAGTCGGCTACACAAAGATGTGGCCGTGGCCAACCGCTTTTTCTTTATTGTGTTCTCTGATGCCCTCTGCTGGATACCCATATTTTTGGTCAAAACACTCTCTCTGCTAAATGTTGATATTCCAGGTATGTAACCTGTATATCCTCTGGTGGAATGATTTTTTTTTTTAACATGCTGTAGTTAAAACAGAGGCAAGTTTCTTTATCAGTATTTCATTACATTTGCATTTTGACCTCTGTTGTGGTGAAAAACATTGTAGTTATAAAGTTTTTACAGAAAATATTGTTCATGAATACTGATGGTGAATAATGTATAGTGCAATGACGGTGGCTAGCTATAAGACTGGGATTAGACATTTTGCACAGATCTTCAGCCCTGTAACATTTAGAATTTATTTCAGCTGGCGCAAAAAAAACATTTTTTTTTGAAAGACAAATATCTTCAGTTATAATGTGCAATTTATAATAAGGCGCACAAAAAACTAATATGAGTTATATATTAAAATAACAGTTTTAAATTTGTAACAATAAATATTTGTTCCTGGCATTTTAGGCCTTGACTTTAAAATAAAATAAATACAATTCAAATAAAAGTTCAGCAGTAGCCTTTCCAAATTGAATGAATTTCATTTTTTTGTTTGTATGCACAAATGGACAATTTTTTTTTTTTTGAAAACGACCCAGCTACCTCTGGCCCAGTGTATTACAGAATTTAAGATTATCAGTACAATCAGTTCTTCTGTTGTTAACATGAATGCCCTATGTTTATCTCTGCAGGGACAATAAACTCCTGGGTGGTGATTTTCATTCTTCCAATCAACAGTGCTCTTAACCCCATCCTCTACACCCTGACCACCAGTTTCTTCAGAGAGCAGGTGGAGCTTCTCCTTTGCCGCTGGCAGCGGCGCTCGGCGTCAAAGAAAGACCGTAAGAGTCTCACCAGCTCCACCATCTACATGGAGACCTCTCGCAATGCTGAATACCCTGCAAAAATTTCCTTGCCACGACTGTCTTTGGCAGATATGGATAACCAATATGGGTGAAAGAGTCAGTGAGTAAATGGTATCATACTGTAGCCTATCATAATCATTATCTATGTTCAGACAGGAGAATGACGGTCTTTGCTGGAACAATTTAGGTGAAAGGATGGAACTGTGATTCTTGCCGTTTGGGTTGCAGTATGGAGTGCTCTTTTTAGACACATGACCCTAGCTTCACTTTTTTTTTTCCATTAGAAGAAGCATTTTTGATCACTTTAGCTAGACGAGAGCCTCGGACCCCTCCAGCGTCCATTTCCTCCCTAAACGCCATGTCTGGCTCACAGCCCCTGAGCTGAGCTTGTTGTTTGTCTCAAAATCATTTTAAAGAAGAAAATCAATGACTACAAAACGCAATGCACAAGACTGTCAGTATTTACTGCAGAACACATTTTAGAGGGATCCAAGGAACTTTAAAGCATTATTTACATGAAGGGCATTTTTTAATGGAAATGTTTTGATATGTGGTTTTGAGGTTGAATTTGAGAAGTTATTTGTAATATACAGCAAAGGTTTTTTTAATGCTTGCTCTGCCATTTCACAGAAAAGACACATTAAAGGGAATGCCTCGAAATAATTCCTGACTGAACAGAATCATGCAATCAAGATAAAGTGGTGCATATCATTCAGTTATATAAGATAATACATTGTTGTTGTTTTTTTTTACAATGATGCGAAAGCATTTCATATTTATACTCATGTAGACTATTTATAAGTTGGATTTTTTTCTACCCACCTCAAGATATGTGAACAAATCAGATATTCAAATATTCAAAGTCAGATGTAAATATGTTAATAGTTTGAATGCTCATGGAATTTAACAAGCAATGTATAATTGACAATCTGAAGAAGTCCATCTACCAGTGACTCTAGCAAGTCAAGGATATCCTTGTACACTGAAAAAAATGATACAAAAAAATTATTTTAGCTACATTTAATTAAAAAAAAAAATGTTGAAAGTTAGTCAACTAAATTTGTTTATTTAAATGTAGCTAATAAATTGATTGCAACCACTTACCTTAAAAATATTTAGTAAATTCAATGAATCATTTTTTTTCAGTGTACTTCAATCATTGCATGACACAGTGTTTTTAAACTCTTAGTAAAAAAAAGCCTGTTGATTGTTTATAAATGATCATAAAAGACAAAATACCCCATGAATGAGTGATCTTTCTCAAATTCTCATGTTTGTGCAGTTTTTCATAACGTATATCACACACACAGCTTACACTGCTGGTCAATAGTTTTTCAAAATGCTTTTGAAAGAAGTCTCTAATGCTCCCCAAGGCTTATTACAGTTTGCACATGATCCAATTAAGCAGCAAAAACTGTTTTCGGTATTAATAATAATAAAAACCATTATTATTAATTGAGAAACAATAGCAGCCTAATTGATAACAGACACAAAACAGCATATTGAAAATTAATCATAATCATTTAACACAGTTTTTAATTTTTGATCAAATAAATGCAGCCCTGTGAGCACAAGACGTATTAAAAAAATATTCCAAACTTTTGACTGGTAGTGTATAAATTTTTGCTTATGTAAAGTCGGTGCTGTGAACATTCTGATCATCAGTTTTGTACCATTGGTACTACGCAATTAAATTACAACATGTTTTCAAACTGCATTGGGAGCGACTTGAGGAGAAACTCCAATTTGCAGTTAATGAAATTGTGCTCTTTTAAAGGTAGACTCCATTAAAATATTACATTTTATGCTTTTTGTCTGGGTTGTTTGCCACTGTGCACCTGTCAGTATCCAGCAGCATCCATCCAGGCGCTCCAGAACCTAATGGATGGAAGGAAAGCCAATTTGCAGTTAATGAAATTGTGCTCTTTTAAAGGTAGACTCCATTAAAATATTACATTTGATGCTTTTTGTCTTGTGTTGTTTGCCACTGTGCACCTGTCAGTATCCAGCAGCATCCATCCAGGCGCTCCAGAACCTAATGGATGGAAGGAAACAGACGGGCTTGCTTCTGAGCCAATCAGCGATCTCCATTTCTCTCCTTTGGTAAATATCTGCGCTCTGATTGGTCGCCAAGGGCGGAGCTGCGCCATCCTCAGCGGACGTCTTTTTCTGTCAGTCGATGTGAGGAGACGCAAGACCAGTGAAGTGAAAATAGCAGAATTGAGCGACGACGCTTGGATAAAGATATGAACATATAAACTGCTATACACGAACACACAAGGTATTCTGTTTTGTGCTCGATGCTTTTACGGTGTGAAATGTAATCGTGTTTTCATTCCAGTGCTCTTTCATTTGTGAAACCGCCTAAAATTGACGAAGAAGCCGTGAGGAAGGCCAGACGACCAGCACAGATTGTGTTTGTTTGTCTGTTGTTGATAACAAACACAACACAACAGATTTGGCTTCAAATTGTCACTTGCATAATTACAAATATCTTGTGTTCTCTAAATGATTGGCATCGGCGTTCTGGGTTCAGGAAGCGGAATAAATGTAACGTTAATTTAACGTAACATGTAGCTGTAATCGAGATAGATGTCTGCGGTGATTATGACAATGTAATAGTGGATGGCTGTGCTCAAAACCGAGTGTGCTGCCTACCTAGACGGCATTTGTGGGCAGCACGGCGTGTGCAGCTTTTGTCAAAGATACGCTGAAATTCCGCGCGTGACGTAAATATTTAAAACGTGGTTTACTTTTACGCGCTTTTGAGACACACATCTACTCATGACACAGTTCATCACGACCAAGCATCAACGATATTATATTTTACCTTCAGGAAATTGGATGATTTTGTATTCTGCATGGCAGCAATCGCCTCCTCCTCCTTTGTCTAAAGGTAAGTCGTGACAGATCCCCCCCCCATTATTTAATTACTAATTAATAAGTAACAATATGTCAAATCTGTGGAGCACCCTGGAGTTTTGCAGTAGCAATTGCATTAGCATTGTTTCATTTGTGCAGTTAATTATATTGACGTGCAATATATGTGACATGGATACTGTAATGTAGATGACATTTGTTACTATCTTGAATAATTATATTCCTTCAGTTATTTATGTGCTTTCACCAGGGTGTAGTAAATGTAAATGTAAACTTCATTAACAAAGACTTTAGATGCAAATCTGTTTTATTTACGTGAAAAAGCCACACTGAACATCAAGCATTCAAAATCTATATATAAAAATAAATATTTTAAAAGATCAACGAAAACTTGAAAAACATTAACAATGAAAGATAATTATAGTGATTTCTTATTCCATATTATACTTTCAACATTTACTAATACATTTTTAATGAAAGTTGTATCTCTTTACATTAATGTCATGTGAATTAAAATTGTGCAATTGTATTTTTATTAACATTAACAAAGATTAATTAATGCTGAAAAAAGTTGCTCATTGTGAGTTAGCTAATGAGTTATCTAATGTTTACAAATTAAGTCTTATTGTAAAGTGTAAAGTTGTAATGTGTTACCATAATCCTTTTAATGCTTTTACATACTTTATGCTTTAAGCCATTAAATTTGATGTAAAGTAATGTTCAAAACTTTTTATTCATCAAATAATCCTGAAAAAAGTGATGTTTCTTGAGCAGCACATCAGCATTTCAATGAATTCTGAAGAACCATTTGAAACTGAAAATTGAACTGAACTTTAGCTTCTTAAAATTAGTTATGGTTGAAGTTATTTTAATAGCATAGCATAAATAAATAAATAATATTGGAATAAACCCATGAACTGTACCTCTACTGAACTCTAGAGGGCAGCCTCACACTTCATTTAAATCAGTTTTTGAGAGAAATGTTTGTAACGTAAACTCTGCCTTTTTTTCTGTTTTTTTTCTTCTGTTTTTTTTTTTTTTTTTCTCACAGTTGTTGCCACTTTATATCAGAGAAAACCGATACATCCACCCCTTTTTCTAGTTTTCACCATTAAATCTACAACACCACATTAAAAAAAAAAGAAAAAATACAATCAGATACAAACAAATCTTTAGATCTTCCACCAAGCTTTCATGCCATTTTCACAGTTTCTAAATCACAGTTCCGCTTTGCTTTCAGGGCACTTTAACTAAAGAGCTTTTGAAACATGACACTACTAATGCATAAGATGTTGTGTAAATTGTTGAGAGAGATCAAATCAATAGAAGAGCATTTCAAAGTGCCCTTGAGATGAAGAGAAGACAGACGAGTCAGTTACTGTCTATAAAGGATCAGCCAAACAATAAGAAAACAAGACTAAACTAACTTGTCAAAATTTGTAAATATGGACATTTCACTAGTCACTTGACAGTGTCTCAGAATGGCTTTCTTTGTGGATGGCATGTCCATGTGACATCACTCTTCTGTCAGACCAGTCCTAACTGCCATCTGAGGAATGTGATATCTGAAGATCACTAGCGAGTACATAAACACAAACCCTGCCTTGATGTGCGGTAGTGGGCGGAACTAATCTCATTGGCTGGCGCTCATCTATTATCGTCTCTGATTTGAATTCAGCAAATCAATTCTAGCGAATGCACACAACCTGATTAATATTCATGAATCCAGCAGCTCGTTAATCCTTATGTTTTTTCCCCCAATTTTTTTTACAGAATCACAGAATGACCAAAAAAGCACCACCACCAGTCCTAAGTTTAGTTAAAATGACTAATATAAAATGACATATCCATATATGGTTACCAAGTTTTAATTAAAATTACTAAAGTTCTATCATTAAATGATACTTGATTATCATAATATCATATTATAATGCTTGACTGACTGATGTTAAGAGTGTACTTTCAGATATTTAAAAAGCTGCTAATATTAGCCAATGGCTTATAAATTCTCAGATTTTACTCGCCAGTGTGTGAGTTGGAGGCTAAGTATAAGTTTAAGCACAGATATATTTTCACTCGCCGAACACTCTCTGACTGAGCGCTTCAGAGTTTCTCTCTCCTTCAAGCGATCTGTGCTATTTTTCATTTAATCTGAATGGATGCACAGCGCACCTGTATTTAACGCACCGTAAATTCTAGTGTGAAAGCACACACCTTGCCGTCACTTTGTCTCACACACACGCAGAGAGAGAGAGAGAGAGAATTGACGCGCTACATGTAATGATATTCTTTGTTGTATTTTCTTGTCAAAATAACAGCGTTCCTTTGGAATTCTTCAGCTTTTAAGAACTGCGGGGTTCTATGGTAGCAGGCGGAACTAATGCGCAAACGACAATCTCATTGGCTGGCACTCACCTATTATCATCCCTGATTTGAATTCAGCAAATCAATTCTAGCGAATGCACACAACCTGATTAATATTCATGAATCCAGCAGCTCGTTAATCCTTATGTTTTTTCCCCCAATTTTTTTTACAGAATCACAGAATGACCAAAAAAGCACCACCACCAGTCCTAAGTTTAGTTAAAATGACTAATATAAAATGACATATCCATATATGGTTACCAAGTTTTAATTAAAATTACTAAAGTTCTATCATTAAATGATACTTGATTATCATAATATCATATTATAATGCTTGACTGACTGATGTTAAGAGTGTATTTTCAGATATTTAAAAAGCTGTGCCATTTTACAAACATTATATATGTTTATAAAATATATAATATACATATCCATATATAGTTTATCAGACTGGAGAGTAAACAAAAAATTTACTAGCCAATGGCGATTCAATTGCCAAGGTGTCCGTAGAGGGTTGAAAATAGCCCATCTCTATGATATTCTAATGTCTAGATATATGTAAATTGATGTGATTTTTTTCACTTTTCGAAAACTTGTATTAGAGTTTGTGTTTTTATTAGAGTTATGACTTGGAAATTATTAGCAGGCTGTTCATACACAGTCAGTCTGTGTTTGACTTTGTTTCCTGTTTTTTGTTTTGTTTTTTTTTTGCTGGTGTAAAGAGCTTTCAGTTCTGCAACTCTGAGATGG